AACAAAAGTTTGATCTTAGGTCACATGTGACGCCGTCAGAGGTCACGAAAGGTAAAAAGGTCGTTCTGATGGATGCAGTTAAAACACATGTCAACACGTCAAGACAGATCTTGAGGGTATAGAGGTAAGCGTTAAGACTGTGGAGAGTCATTCCGACAATTTATTGAACCACAAGAGACAGGTCAGGTCAGATCAGGTCATCGTTCAACATTGATGTACAGGTCGTCTGCAAGAACGACACTTTTTTATTTGTTAACATTAAGTTTCTGCTACATTGTTAACTATCCCAGACACAAAAATACATTTAAGGCTGACCTTGGGGTCAGCTGAGGTCAATTTGGGTCCAATCTACACACCATCGGAATTGAAAAAACAACTTTAAGTACGAACCAGCGCGAGGCTACGTGAATGGCGCAATACTTTTCCGTGGTCAGAAATAGTGTGTTGTAAATCTACAAGTGCCCAAGATCGCATAGCTGTATAGCATACATGACACAGGGTACTTCTACGTTTTGCAACGTTGTTTTGTGACAAGCTGAGAACAGGCATGCTGGTACGTAAAATAATTCGCCACCAGCTTCACAAACACGATATAGAGGTGGTCACACGCATTGCACTTGCTGATCTAACCTCTCCATCGCTGACGGGCCTTACGGGACGGATGCCTTCATTGGGAATCATGTGGGATGCATTGGTGGCGTGACAGGGACTCGAACCTAAGGCCGACAGGTACAGAGCCGAGCGTCCTAACCACCACTATACCATCACCGACCCTCCCGCTAAGCCAACACACACACATTGCCGACCCGCAAACGGCCAGCAGTGGCTGGCGGCGTAGGGCGGGGGGGGGGGGGGGGGAGAAGCTAACTTGATGATCTTACCACATATGGTAACCGGCGTAGAAACAGAAGGAAAGCACATGCATTTGTCATCAACATAGATGGACTGCCGTGGGATGCCCGCGCAGGGACAGGTGATTGAATCAAGCCCCATCGAAGATGACGCTGGGATGACATTGATCGGACAAGACGCTGTTTGCATTGTAGTAAAGGGCAATCATAGTAAGGAATAATAGTATCAAGACACGCTCGGCTACATTAGACAACGAAGTCCTTCAAGGCGCTGATGAGGGGTAGATATCGTTAAACCACTGGTCGACCATCCGGTACCACAGCACGAGGATTAACGACGAAACAGGGCAGGTCGTAATTACGTGCTGAAAAGGGTCGCGAGCGGGCCGGTAATCACCAGGCGATTACGTCGAGGGGATTAACAGTGGGGTGATGACGGCAAAACGTAACGGGCTGAACGGCACGAGTGGAACCCGCCCAATGTGGAAAGATCCCTTGAGCAATAGCATCACGTTACATCATTAACAGCTGCCAGAAAATATTTGAAAGTTTCAGTAAAGTTGACGGAAAACAGTGCGCATGGCAAGGATTCCCCCAAATGCAAGGACGTTTTGAGTGTATGCAACATTGATGTCCGCCTCAGATGCAATGCAGTCCAGCCAAGCAGAATACTTCCGGAACAGCCCGTTTTCACCTTGTCATAGGCATGACACCCCAGAACACAACACGCTATACAAAGTACTGCCCTATACATTCCATTCGGCAGAATATTTCTCTAACCGTGATAGCGAAACAAAACCTGCGTGAAAGACGACTACCTCGAGCTTGGGTCGATGTCCGTCAAGTTAGCGCCGCCTTCGCATTCGACTCCATTGTCGAGTTCAGGTTTCCAAAAAATGCTTTCCCTATGTAAATTCAGTGAGTTCTTCACGAATCTGCATTCCTCTTTTAAGTCACTTAATCTGACCTCTACAGATCGCCGAAAGGTCAACACATGGGCATCCTGTTATTCTTTCGCTTGTGGAAGAGATCTAATAAAAAAGGTACCATATTGAGGATTATGATGTCCATTTTCATCACATGCACACAATCTCTCCCATGGTCAAAAGACAAAATGTGTATCATAGTGAAGCTCGTGGTGCCTACCTTCGTTAAATTAAGAAAAATGAACATCAAGCTTAAAATCCCCCGCAAACCGATAACTAAGCGCTTATTCCTATAATTCAGAAGCCCGACAAAATGAGTATGATACTTATGCTCATTATATCTACCTTACTAACACAAGCAAAAAATGAATCGGAGTGAAAGTCCAAGGCCATACAAAAGCCAGTAAAATGTATTCGTTTACCCATAAGTGCAACAAAATAGGTATCATAGAGGTGCTCGTGATGCCCACTTTCGTCGCATCCAGAAAAACTTCTTTCGAGGTCAAATGCCAATGTCACAAAATAAAGCACCCCGTCATACATTTTGTCACCCAAAAATGTAGAAAAAGTCGTGTTATAATGATGTTCGCGATGCCCACTTTCGTCACACTTGCAAAAACTACCTCTGAAGATCAATGGTTAAGGTCAACAATAAAGCACAAAAACGCACCCTGGCACTTACTCATCTACTTAAGAAATAAAACCTTCTCAAGGCATACCGATGACTGTAAGGCTGCTTTCTTCGCATTTAAAATAAAACTTACTCTTAAGGTTGAAGGTCAAGCAAAGAGCAGTACCATGAAGTTCATTCGTTTATCTGAACACACAAAAATCACGTCATATTGATGGCTGTGGAGTCTACTTTCGATACACCTAAAGAAACCGACTCCCAAGGTAAAAGACCAAGGTCACAGAAAAGGCAGTACCTTGAGAGATGGTTCTTTTAAGTACGACAAAAGCAGACACCTTGAGCATCGATACAATACTCTTCTTATATCTATTGAGTAACTAAAATTTTGCGGGCACCACGTTTTTTGAGAGGTTGACCTTTGAAATCAAGTCAGTTTTTACAAGTGTCCCAAAAGCAGACATTATGATTATCAATGACTCGATTTTTATTTTTTAAGAAAAGGAAGAAGTGCTGTGGTATCGCGTTTAAGCGACCCCGACCTTTTCCCTGGTCAGTTTACTACAGCGTGACTGATGCAGACATTACGAGCATCAATATGACACCATTTTGTGGTATCTTTAAGTAAGCAAATATACGCATCGGCGCTGCGTTTTTCGTGACCTTAACCATTGACCTTGAGAAATTTGTTTCTAAAGGTGACGGAAGCGGACATTACAGACTATCGGAATGACAACCTTCTTGTGGCATTTATTAAGTTAGAGTTTATAGAGTCAAACAAATGCTTGCGTACCGCATTTTTTTCTGACCCTGAACTGACCTTCGGAGAAAGCTTTTCAAAGCATGACGCAAGCGGAAATCCTGAGCATATGACACCTTATCTGTGGTATCTACCAGGTACTTGTGGTATTTATGAAGTAAACAAAACAAGTCAGGGTACTGTGTTTTGTGACTTTGACCTCGAGTTAGTTTATCTATGTGGGACGAAAAAAGACGTCGCAACTATCTATATGACATTATGACATGACTTGTTGCATTTGCTAAGTTAACGAATCAATGACTGGGTACCGACTTTTGTGACCTTTGACCCGGAGAGCTCGTTTTCCGAGCGTAGGTACAGCAGACATCCCAAACACCAATATGGCACGCATTTGTTGCATTTTTTAAAATAAACGAATACATTCCAGGGTACCATGTTTTACATGACCTTGACCATGACCTTGAGTTAGTTTTTCCAAGTATGACGAAAGCGGATATCACGACCATCAATACGGCAAGATTTTTGCTGTATTTCTCAGGTAAACTAATGCATGATAGCATGATTCTTGACACGACAAAAAAAAACGAAAACGACCGGTCGTTTTTTTTGGTGAAAAGGAAATTTCCATCCTTTGAGCGTGAATCTGATCTGGAAAGGAGACCTTGCGATTTCAGGACCTTTGCACGGACGCCAGTTCCTGCTCTGGTAAACATTCTGGTGCTCATCATTGCGAAATGCAGTGGTATTTTTGGGGTAATGTTGAGTTCCTCCTCAATTTAAGCCTGCCTTTCACCCTCAAGGTTGACCTTAAGATGACAAAACACAATTGGCGAGGGCAAAGCCTTATTGGCGGTGGCGGCGGTGGCGGTATTTGCGCGACGTTTGAACGGTGTCATGACGGTCTAGGTGACCTTGAAGGTATTCACAGGCTGGCGGGCATCAAGCCCGGAAACAAGAGGGGTTTAAGCCTTAAAAAGGGCATGACTGTGAACTGCATTTAATGACCTTCCAAATGGCTATCTCAGCCCAAAACCCCACAGACATTTGGAACACACCTTCAAAACAACTTTCAAAACGGATAGATCCGTAGTTTGAGCATGGGCGCGCGTGGTGGCCTGAGGTCAGCACACATCGGCCCCACACTTACGTCAGTACGGTCAGGCGATACGTCAGTACGATGGCGTATCGCCCCCCACGCTTTTGCCAGTACGATAACACATCGACTCCACACCCTCGTCAGCACAATTGCCTTTTTCTCCTTCGTCAGTATCATGCAGTTCATTTCATGCCAATGCGGCGCGCCTGAGATTTGGACCTGGTTCCGACGGGCACGTTTTCACGATTTGAAAATCTTATGTTTTCTATTAGTCAAAGGCGGAGAAGTCGTCGTGACTCAAAACACTGCAGAAACCCGCAGCTCGATCAAAGAACTTGCGCTCGAATTCCATTACAAATACTACTGCACGACTTTTAATGGAGTTACGCTGCTTAATGGAACTTCAGGTAGGTAAAGGGATCGCAATAAACTAAATTGGCCAAATGCGTGTCTGGCCGGGCTGGGTCGGGCCAAAACGTGCCGCTGACGCTAAAATACTACCGATTAGCTCATGTTCAGACTAATCATGCAGCCTCACTTGTAAAATGCGTTGAGTTCCATAATTTGCACACACCATCTTCAGAAATCTCACTTCCACTAAGCGGGATAAACGAACGATCGTATGGAACACGTCATGAGAGCAATAACGCCGACAGCGAGGAGACACCAGCGCGGGCGAGCAGCGCGCGTCGCCAGCCTACATCAGCGCAGTGGGAAGCCACCGTGGAAACAGGCTTACCTGCAGCTTGTTCAGCAGGTCTTCGTATGTGGCGTAGGGGTAGTCACTGACAAACTCGATCACCAGCTTCGACATGTAGATCTTCTCGCGGACCGAGTCCATGATGAAGGCGTACTCGGCGCTGGGCTCCATCAGGTAGTACTCCGCACAGGCTGGCCGGGCGCGACAACCGTCAACCAACGCGTCCAGTTGAAGACGCCGGCCACCGCCAGCCAACGTCAACCGGCTGTCGGTCGGCAACCACGGCGGTCCACCAGGCAAACATCGCGTGCATGCGTCAACCAATTTCGACAACTATCAGTTGTCAGGCAACTATCACAACCACTATTTTAACGAGGTCAACTGTCACCGCACTTCCGTCTACTGACGCGTGGCCCACTTCAGTACGTGAGCCAAAAACAATGACTGATGAAACCCACATCTCCGTTCAAGTGTTGACGGCAGTCCATGACTGCGCTGGCGAGCTGTCACTGACAATTGTGCAGTGCATGTAGTTTATCGACATAACATTCTTAAGATCTAGTCAAGCCTTCTCATCGCATGGATTTCTGGGATCAGTGCTCACGTCTGGCATAGCTGCTGCTTGCTGCCTTGTGTGAGCCCTGACTTCACCATCCCAGCGTGAGATTCCAGGTCAACGGCATAATCTTACGGAAAAAATTAACGTCGCACACCAGCTCAGCACCGGTCCGTCCTTCCCTCTGACATTATCTTAACTTCATCGCTTCCAACGGCCGCAGGCCATCCCAGTCAGGGACAAACAGCGAGTACCTACAGCGACTCGAACCCAAGCGGCCACGGGTGGGAAGGACGGCAGGTGCTTTAAACGGCTGAGCTATCCGAACCAACGTAGAAGAAATGGAAGAAACGAACCACAATCGTCAAGAGCTGAAACCTGACATCCAGAGTCCCTTCCTTACATTTACATTTACACCTGTTTGGGCCGGAGGGATTCAGGCGTGCGTACGCCAGGTACGGTGAAAGCCAGAGCGCAAGCCGTGAATAGCTTTCAAATTGCTTGAGTTGCAGGCACGTGCGCCGCACAAAACATGAATTGCACGCATCTCTGCACCCTTGGTTAGCTATCGCGCCAGCCAAAGCACTGGAAATCACTGTAACTTGGTGTTCAGTGGATCCAACATAATTAGGTTAGCAGTTGCGTTGACGGGTTCGCAGTTCCGTCTAAACCGGCGGCCTCTATCCTGGTCCCTACCAGCGGCGGCAATGGCTGTGCGTACGAGCGGCTAGGAAAACTGGCTGTACAGAAACGTAAGCCGTGCGAAACAAACCTTGTTTTGACACAAGGGCTCGCTAGCGGCCTCGGCAAGCACGAACTGATGTCATGTAAGCATGATATCTGAGTAAGGTTTTATATACAATACCTTTATGGCGATTGCATCATTATGACAACAAACAAGACGCAGAATGTGTCCGGAGTTTCCTGTCCGATTGCCAACAGAATTAGGGAATTGCTGTAATTCGGTCTAACCCAGGGTTTACCACGAAAGCCTCCATTCTCTTTTGCTGCAAGCTCACAGGGGCCCAGTGACACCAGCCAGCCTACGTCGGACCTCTAAAGCCTGGGTTCGTTCCGAAATACAATGATAAACAACATTACGACCTAACCCCAGCAATTCACTCGACAGCTAATGTTACTCGCAAATGCACTGAACAACTTACGTAATAACGCGCTATTATAAATAAAATACCGCGCCCCTTAAAAACTTAACAGGCTGCCTACCGATCATTGACACGACCGCGATAAGGACACGGGGCAATGATTCGGACCCGTCCATCCAACAATATACAGCCAACCACGAGCGTGCTCAAAAACGTTAAGCCAGAATTGGAAGAAAATATTTCGAAACTAGAAAAGGCATTATCGCTACGCTCACTGGATTTATGATGAACTTTAAAAAACTACCAAATACCAACCTACAAAACGTAAGCCAAAATTATGCATCAATTTGCGGACATGGTCTGACAACCACACACTCCATTGCCAGCCGCAAGAATACATCGTGAGAAGGTGCTCGTGTTGAGGCCCCGCTCCATACAGGTACGACAGCGGGCCGGTACCTGTGGTGAAGCCGACCAGCGCCAGCTCGCCGCCGTCGAACCCGGTCGTCCACCACTCGTTGATGGGGCCCACGTTCATGCAGGGCACCCCGTTCTCGGACGAGGGGTCTTCCTCGAACACCGGCTTCATGAACCTGAAACGGTCAGACATCTCTACGGATGACGCCATCTACTCCCCAGGTGCAGGATTTCGGTTCACGGTGCCGGCAGTACCGGCGCCGAGCCCAGGCTCACCACGGGACGCTTTTCAGCACATGGGAAGATCTTCAAGCCGCGGAAAGCTGTAACGGTGCCCCGTGAGCCAAACGTTCGTTACACGTGCTCATACACTTAAAGGGAGTGTTCCACATTTATATGAGGTTTTGAAGTGAAATAGCCATCTTGAAGACTTTGTGATGCTGTTTACAGCTCCGTCCTTCTTAAGACCTAAGTCTCTACTTTCTTAGACAACGTCACCGCTGTACATGACGCAAAGATGTGGATATGACGAGGATGCAGGTGGGTCACCCACAGCATACAGAATATATTCAGTTTTCATTAAGCGTCGAGAAGTTTGCCACAGCCCTAAATAGCGCCATTTCATTCCAGGAAATCTGTGAGCATAACCCCACTGGTGACCGGCCACTCAGTTTGAATGGCCAAACGCATTCGCCGCACGTGTGGCGGCAGGGTTTTGATGTTGCAGACACCCAACGATCCTTGCTCATGCACCAAAGCCAAGTCACCAGGTGTTTGCTGGATAGAGATGTTTTTGATCACGCATTCTTGTCGAAATTAGTTGTCATAGACAACCATAGAATTTATGACAAAAGTAATTAAGTCAACCAACCAACACTGGACACGAGGACACAAACAACGCAATGTTTGTCGAAGAACATGATAATTATCAAAAAGGTCAGTGAGAAGTCTGCAGGAGAAATTTCGTAACAACGATTTCAAGTGGAAAACATTGGCTCCCGATGCAAGGCTGAGAAAGCCGGAGATAAAGTGCAAATCGGACATCGCCAATCTGGTTAAGTATCTGTACAGATAAAACTTCAAAAGCATGTCATGGGTAGTGGCTTTTAACATGGGCTCGGGATCAATCCGAGCCAAGGTATTTTCCAGAATAACTTCCGAGTACAGACTCAACTTTGGATGGTTTCTGAGGCCATAAGACAGCTAAAATTAGGTTTATGACTAATTTCATTGAACTGGGTTCTGATAAGAAGCTGACTAAGGTGAAAACCAAAGCGCTTTATCACTGACAAAATTACCTCATCTGGCAGTTTGTGACGTTCATCTCGAATTTCTGGATAGCAACGTCAAAATACCTATTGTTTTGACTCCATAAAGATGTCACCACCTCAGGCCGCTAGCCTTAAAGGATCACAACCAACTTAGTCCATTAAGGAGCATGCCGTCTATAGTATTGCTCACAATTTGACATGCGTGACTTCACACAGAGCCCCGCCGACTCTGTGAATCTCGTGCCTCTAGCTCCCTTGGTTTTTGATAATTCAGCGGGGTTAATTGATCACCCAGCCCCACCTCCATCCGAGTGCATTGCATTCAACCAGGCACCCGAATGCGTGTTTAAATCGTGACTCCCCGACACCGATTCGTTCATATTCGAAAACACACCTATTTCCTCCGTGACTAACAAATAAAGTGGGCACGCAGCAGCGACCGTGAAAGGCCGCCATACGCCTGTACGACAGCACATCGCGCAAGTCAACATTCTCACAGCTGGGTGACCGCAGGTCAGGTTAGAGGCGGGCGGAGAACTCACCCCGAGAACAGCAGCTCCACATTCCTCTCAATCAGGCCCGAGTCGAACGGGCACAGGTGGCCGTGCTTGTCGTAAATGGAGAACTGAGTGAGCTTGTGCTGCGGCCGCTCGTCGCATTCCTGCACGAACTCCTCCTCGCCGGTGAAGAGCGCAAGGCGCGGATCGCACAGCGCCACGTACTCATCCATGGCGCCTGAGGCAGAGCGCAGGACGCGGCCGGTCTGACACAGCCGGCCACTGACATGGCGCGTGGTGAGTGTGGACATGGCTCACCATGGTGGTGTGCCAGGCCGCTTACTCTGTCGAAGGAGCACGCTGAACGAGACAGCAACGCAGGTCTTCAGTGGCGCCGACATACATGTCCATCACACAACACGAATATATTGAGATTCATATACCTGAGGTTTCGAGAGCGCTGGCGCCAAAGTAATCAGGCATATGAGCTTCCTAGGGTACAGCAGTAACATCAACCTCAAGGGCCCCAGGTGGCTGTGGGTTACACGACGTTCACAAAACTAAAAAAAAAAAACAACAAACAAAACAAGCTAAACTCACCCCTACGCGCGAGTTCGCCGCAGGACGGCCCAAGGAAGTACTCCGGATCGCCACACCCTGGCACCCACCATTACGTTTGCGTGTGCCCGTGTATCGAATCATTTCGAAGTCCGAAGTGGCATCAGCATAGCCGCGCTCAGTAGCGCGGAGGCAAAAGGATCTACGAGTGGTGGCACGACAGCGACTGTGCAAGAGCCGGTCCCGAGCCGCAGAACAACTGGCTGACATGCATCAAAACACGTAGGTGCTGCAGTGGCCACTGGCGTTAATGCTCTCCCGCTGGTTTGCCCGACGGAAACAGCAGGGCGCGGGTGGCTGACCTCGTGGGTGTCCCTGGCAGAGTCTGGTGTCTGGCGAGTCCAGCAGTTGGCGACAGGTGGCGCACCGAGCCGGCGGGGCCTGCACAGCACACATGCCGCTCTTGTCGCCCCTGAAAACACGCGGCAAGTCAGTGAGACCGGCGAGTCCATCAGCTGGCGACAGGTGGCGCACCGGGCCGACGGGCCTGCACACCACACATGCCGCTCCTGTCGCTCCTGAGAACACGCGCCAAGTCGCAAAACACCGCAGAACAAATGAAATGCTCTACCAAATTCCATCAAAACTTTTGAAGTCAGGACTCCTACAGGGTTCTTGTGGAGCAGATGTTGGGCATGCGGCGCATTTTTCGCTGCATTGTTGGGGATGCAGCGGATGCATTTAAGAAAGCCAAAATGCATACATTCCACGAAAGCTGTACGTTGCGTAGTACCTTGCCGCGACGAACTAGGACCTCCACTGCCGGAGCGCTGATCCGGGGAAATCGCATGTAACGGACAAACTCCGAAGACTCGAAACAAGCCCAGCGTCGCCTTCCGGCCGCGTTCCATTGTGGGCCAAATGACGCCCCGATTCGCCAGGATGGGGTATTGAGTACCCATGCAGTGGAACCTGTCGGTGCAGCTGGGGTGCGCGGGCGCGCGGCTGCAGCAGTGCTATTCTGTTGCGCGGGCCAAGCCACACCCGCAACTCCTGGACAGCTGCAGGACTGCAGGCCCATGCTACGGAATGGCCGCGTGTGTGCCGACAGTTTGCACTACATGGGCTATGGACATCTCAACCTAGCGGATCGATACTCCGACTGGCTCCTAGTGGTGTGGGACCCTGAAGGCAGCTCCGAGTTTGCCAAGCACCTTTAAAGGATGTCTGTGAGATACAACATCGCAGACCAGCTCGCATACAATGGCGGCCTCCAGTTCGCCGCAGCAATGACTACCGAGGCTGGGGTCACGTGCCTCACCCCCCCACCCCTCCCCCCATCAACGGGGATCGCCAAGCTTGCCATGCATTGGAATTCATTGCCCCCAGCTGATTGTTTCCCCCAAAAATGAAGAGGCCAAGGATTTCTGCTAAATCTGGCTACAACATGCATCAACCACTTAATGCAAAATGAGACAAATGCAATAATGCCAAAAAACAAAGCCTTTCTTTGAGACTGCAGCATTCAATATGGTGCACCAATGCATTTATCCATCCCCTAGCTGAGTTCTGGATGAGACAGGCATGCACCTGAGCTTAGTGAAAGGCAGCCCCAGCAAAAACACACTCATGAATATCACCTTACATTACAAACATATGCCAAATCAGTCAACATTTCCTGCAAAGTTAACTTACAATGGTTTATTTGTATCATCTTGTTCCACCTTCATCTTCTTTGCTTCTTCACTTGCATCCCCATGGTCATTTACTGATTCATCTGACTGTGTCCTGCACTCTGCTTTTTTCTGGCTTCTGGACAAGAAACTTGTGAGAGTGATCTGCCCATCACCAAACCTCTTCCTGCCACGTCTGCGGCTGCATGTAGATGGCTTGACATCTTGATGATGTCCATTGGAGTCAGAAATGGTTGGTTTAGCATCTTGATGGTGTCCATTTTTCCCCTGGGTATCATCAATATCACTGTCACCTTTTGTGGTTCCATTCTCGGTGGTCTTCATGTCCGTGCTATACCCATTTACATCGCCTTCCAAATTTATCATTTCATTGTCAAGTATTGTACTGCCCTTATGATGCTGATCCTTGACAACAGATGGACCGGGACTGTGGTTGATGTCCTTCATCATGGCAGTGCTGATCACCTGTGGAAACCCAATGGTAGTTCAAATATCTACCACACCTTTGACAGGATAGCATATCACTTTGTGATTCTCTCCTTATTTATAATGATCTCTCTGACTTTCTGCATACCAAGTCAAGTTATAAACAAAAGGCCTCAATTGCTGAGAGAAACTGCTGATCAATAAAGTGCAACTGGCCTGAAATATCCCATGTTCAGCAGCCTTGCTTGGCCCAGTCAGTTCAAAACATTGATTTAAGATATACATATTGCTTAACAAAGGTAAAAGGCTACATTAGATTAGTTTTCACAAAATCTACATAGATGCTAGCAACTTTTACATCTGTAATTGTCTTCTTCAGCTCAAAACACATGCCTTCCTTGAGACCTGCAAGCATCTAGTGCCCCAGGATGACAACAGCTTGAGTTAGTAGTGGCATCCAGTAGTCTGTGGGGGCTGTATGCGGTGAAGTTATAAACACCATTGAATATGGCATATCTGGCATGGATCACCTGACAAGCTTCTCATCTTCTGCAGGGCTCACACCAGCAACACAAATTACAGTTAAAAACAGACCTGTGTATTCACTTCTAATTACTTGCATATCGTTATCGGGCTATGTGAGGTTGGTCAGCTTCAAAAATTTGCAAACAAGCCACTGTAAATACCTGGGTCACAAACACCTGCAACCGTGCCGTTTCGAGCACAGCAAGTCAGTAAATTGTAAAACACACCCATGGCCCGCACTCGACGGAGCCCTACTTTTCGGGCTCCAGGGTCTCACATCATACCTTTCTATCTATAATAAAACCAACCAACCAACGCAGCTACCTCCCCGTCACGCGGCTCTTGTTATTTCGAAGGGCCGCGCTGGTTGTGAGAAAACGCGCCATGAATGGTACCAAATCTGGAGGGGCAATTTCTTTTCCATCAAGTGGAAAATTTCTAGGCTTGTGAGAACTATTCAGTTGAAATTAAACAGATAATCCTGTAAATACGACAGTTTTATTCGTTTTAAAAAGGATAAATTACATAATAGTGCATATATAATACACAGTTTCTCAGAACAACTTGTAGCGTAGCTTCAATATGAATCTTAATGCGATTTAAATTGGGCACGCGTTAAAACTATTTGCTCCTTTTCTGAAAAAACATCGTTCTATTATGGCGCAATAGAGACAATCACAGAAGCGGTAAAAAACTGGTTGCCAGCTTGGCACAGGGCAAGGTACGGGGTATTGAGGTAGTGTGCCGCAGTATACGGCATTGGTGCCGCAGCGCGTATGTGGGCAGCGGCGGGGGGTATCAGTCTCATAATATTACGGTGAGTGTGATTCTTGGGCTTGTTTTTATTGGGTGCCCTTTAAAGGTATGCAGTGTGGACTGTGGGGTGCGGCTTAGGTCGTACTTGTTTTTTTCAGCTGGATATTAACATAGCGTCCAGTATGCAAAAATATCACCGCCTCGAGCGCTCGCGTGACATGGGTGCACGCAACTTGAAACACACTTGCTCCGGGCTGGGGCCGGGCAAAATGCCGCTGAGTTTTTTGTATATATGCAGTCTGAAAACTGTTTGCCTGTTTGTCAAAAGTTTTGCCTGCTGCTGAATCAGCGCCCTGAGACTGGTGTGAAGTTTTATGTTTTGGGAATATAGGTCTGGCCTGTGGCTCCCAGGCAATCCAAACTTTGACTGGTATCAAGAATGAATACTGCAGAGGGATAGAGAGAAGGAAAATAAGCTAGATAATGTTACTGTCTTCATTGTATGATATCACTTTCACCTTTGTACAGAATCTATTCATCCTTCACAATGCTGTGTTTATCAGTCTCAAAGCTGATCTGATCATGTTAATGCTGTTTTCTTTCTTGAAGGCTTGCTGTTTGGATGGTGCATGCTGCTGAACTTCCTTGTGATGTCTTGAAAGATGACACAGACTTATTGTTCTTTAATATCCTTAATGTTCATCTGGGAGTGCACTCATATTATTTAGGGTGCTTTTTAAGTTAATAACAATCCATCTGGACAGCTAGCTGCCACTGGTATTAGTACAGTGCCACCTCCAGCCAGACAAAATTAATTAGCACCTCTATGATGCACAGCAAATTATGATAAGTTTTTGTAAGCCCTCAATGCTTGCATACCTTGACAGGATGGGAAGCTATTGGTATGTGATTTGCAGCATATTTTTAATGACTTGACCCTATTTCTTAATCATTACAGCCTATTATCATATACAGCATAGCTTATTTCTCAATCATTTGTGATAAGTGTCTATCTGATGAAGGTCAGAGCACATCCCCATCTTGCAGGCACTGTCATTGACATGACATGGGTATGATACTGTGATGGATTTATGCTCTGAATTATCATAAAGGTTGAACCTGTTATGTACAAATTTGATTGCAATCAATCAATCTTGTTAAAAGACTGCTCATATAGAGTCAGGCAGGTATTCATAAGTTATTCAAATAAGCAGTTCCCCACACTTTACTGGCTGTTTACAGGGGGTCAGAAGTGCATTACTAGGCAAGGGCATGATGCTGTTGATGCCAGAGGTGCTGCCACCAATGATACAGCATTGACTGGTGCATGAACAGTATAAAGCAATTCTCAGTTAACAACCAAGTAGAGTTGCACTCATGGACCACTTGAGACACACTGGCAGTGCAGCCCTGTTCCATGTGCTCAGGGAATCAAATCCGTATTGTTTAGTTTTGATCTGCTTGTTTTGCTACTCAAAGAGTTTTTTCTGATGTGTGTGGGTTTTTCAGAAGTTTCTTTTACATGTGTGATATGTCAAAACCAAGAGCATCAGTATAGCACCAAATTCAGCTACATAGCATATAATCACACTCATGGATTGTCACAACCTGGCTACATTTGCAGGATCACCTCCAGCAGTATACAGGAAGTCAAGGATGAGTCTCCAAAGAGTCTTTTCTCTGCAAAGTCATGTTGTATCAGGCTATGTTGGCAACAAGAGTGCAACTTTTCCTCTGCAGGTAACCTTTGTTTGCTTAGTGTTAGTTAATTCACACCTCAGCTTCATAAATTTAAGGTCATAAATGTGTTTCATGGGACCAAGTGGTCAGTGCACCCTTAAGCTTAAATTATCATCACTGATCATCAAGGCTTAAAATATGTTCCTTTTTGAGCATTCTGTATTGTATGGCCCTTTACAATTTTGACATTGGGATGTGTTTGCATTACTGTAGCAATGAGGTTGGAATATAGTTGTTCATTTGCTTTTCAACTTGCAAAAATGAGTCAGCTGATAATTGGGCCTAATTCAGGATGATTTATTATGGGAGTTTTGCCTCCAAAGCTGTGAGTGTATACCTTAAGGTTGATTTTTGGATGCTGTAGGCATGCTCTGCCGCTAATAATAATATCCTTGAAGTTTGTACATGGCATGTTCTATTATGCTGAGAAAGTCATAGGTAGGCATAGTCATGGTCATTGTGTTTGACACCTCTTGTATTCCCCCGAGCAGGTTCACGGCTTTGACGTCGACGCCGTGAACTCTGTGCAGTTTTCCAACCACACTGGCTACAAGTGCTTCAAGGGACAAGTTATGAATGATTCCGAACTGGGTAAGACTGCGTTTGGGGGGGGGGGGGTCTAAACGCCAGCGTACCCGTGCAGCTTTGGGCTTCATGCCCTCCGGTGACGCAGCGGGCCACGCCGGTACTCGGTCTCAACCCTGACCAGGGAGACGCCGCTTGCCGCGCTGGGACTCGGATCTGACTGAGTAGTGAGAGGCCATTAGCCGCGCTGGGACCCGGATCCGACCGAGCAGTGAGAGGCCATTAGCCGCGCTGGGACCCGGATCCGACCGAGCAGTGAGAGGCCATTAGCCGCGCTGGGATCCGGATCTGACAGAACGGTGAGAGGCCATTAGCCGCGCTGGGACCCGGATCTGACAGAACAGTGAGAGGCCATTAGCCGCGCTGGGACCTGGATCTGACCGAGAAGTGAGAGGCCATTGGCCGCGCTGGGACCCGGATCTGACAGAACAGTGAGAGGCCATTAGCCGCGCTGGGACCCGGATCTGACTGAGCAGTGAGAGGCCACTGGCCGCGCTGGCAATCAGGCGTAACCTGTGACCACGGAGGCGCCGGCTGGGACGCCACTGACTGGGCCGATGTTGGGGTTTGGCGCTGCTGCGTGAGGTCTGGCCGCCGCTGCTCACATTCGTTGACCGGCAGACGAGCTAGTCACCGGGCTCCGGATGAACAGCATCAATAGGTACTCGCACCTGCTCACGGGCTACATTGGCGCGCGCTCTTTCCTGCTGAAGGTGGCCGATGTGGTGCGGGAGCTGAAGCAGGTCAACCCCGACCTCATCTACGGTAAGCGTCCCGGCTGGCATGGTCTGTCGTGCGGACACGGACCGAGGGGTCGGAGAGCTGGCTCCGGGCAAACAGCAGCTGGCTGGCTCTTGCTCAGTCTGAGAATGTCAGCGAGTGACTCATAGGATGCGGCGTAATGCGTTGTGTCTATCGTATTTTTCGATTCGATTCCATACGTATATTTCCTAGTTTGCTGTGTTTGTTTGTGATATTTACGGCATAATTTTTTATCATTTGCTTTAAACCTGATTTTTCGTATGTGCCCTTGCCCTTGCCCCTTCGTGTAAGCCCTTGCGTTTTCCCTCAGCTTGCCATCAGCTGTCATTTCTATTGTGTGTACGGCAATGCCTACACGTCCATTGACACAGCCGGGCCCGTTGCAGTGTGTGATCCCGTGATGGGAGACAACGGGCAGATGTACGTGCCGGAGGAGCTGCTGCCCGTCTATTGCGAGCACATCATCCCGCTGGCCGATATCATCACGCCCAACCAATTTGAGGCCGAGTGCGTCTGCCCCTCCCCCCCCCCCCCCCAGCCTGCCCGGCGGCCGGCTGCTGGTCAGGATTGTGTGCCAGGATTGTGTACAGGATTGTTGACACGGTGTTTCTCCGCATGTAGTGTGTATGCTCTCCGTGTTGTGCCCGGTCTGGGACAGTCTTCCGCGCGGCATCGCTCACGCGTTTGGTACTCACCCGTCGATCTCGTGTGATGTGAATCATCGATGCGGTAGTGTTACGTCAGCTTCAGGTAGTTAGCACTCGCTGCGTCCAGTCTGGTGGCCAAACAGCAACTAAGCGTGTCGCACATGTCACGTTTGATGCGTCTGTGGTCGGTGCCAGAGTCGCCGCCATTGCCGGCCGCGCGTCTTTCCGCCGTTCGCCACCGTGCTGTCCCTGAGCTGTGCCCTCGCCTGCCAGGCTGTTGACCGGGGAGAAGATCACGGACGAGGCGAGCGCGCTGCGAGCTATGGACCGACTGCACGCGGCCGGCATCGGCACTGTCGTGCTTTCCAGCACCGACCTCGGCTCACAGGACACGCTGGTCGGCCTGGCCAGCACGCGCGACAGTGAGTGGCCCCACCGACCGGTGTGCGCTGGTGTCCGTCGATGACTGTGGTGTGTTGTCCGCCGGTCCTCTTTGTCTGGTGTCCGCCAGTCACGGTGGTCCACCGGTGACTGCGGTCTGGTGTCCACCGATGACTGTGGTCTGGTGTCCGCCGATGATTGTGGTCTGGTGTCCACTGATGACTGTAGTCTGGTGTCCGCCAATCACTGTGGACCCGACTTGTAATTGGTACATACGCGCTTTCCGCTCGGCCTTTGGTGGTCTGTCCACCCTATTTCAAGTTAGTCAAACCTTTGATAATTAAAGGTTAAATTAAAGTGCCGAATTAAAGTTTAATTCGGCACTTTCACTGGCCAGTTTGAGGCTGATCCCTTCAAGGCCATTGGTGTGAGACTTCCCTGGCACGAACTGAGCAAAAATACCGAGTAAAGCGCATTGCGGTTACTAATGTTTGGATCTCAGACATGTAGTCGTCGGCCGAGCGTATGCAGACGTCATGTATCGAAGTATCACGAAACATCACTTTTGATCTGGAGGTTTTCATGGGTAAGATTGTCTTTGCCCAATCCACACATTGCCCATGGGTTGCACATGTGCCAACCAGTTAACCATCCCTAATTGTTTGGGCCCATCAGTAGTTGACATTTTCCTAGCTTTGTGTTTCTGAACTGTGGCAAATGTTATTTTGCGTTGATAGTTACAAAGCAGTGTGTACCGAGCCAATTGTGACCGCCAAGTGGAAGTAATCAACTTATATAATATGTCTTGTGTCTCCCTGGCATTTTGTTAACGTGCTACTGATACACCTGTATCCATTTCTACAGTGTTCCTAAAATATGTACCCAACCTAACACGTTACCCATTGTTTACAAGTCTACCCAGCCTGTGAGGTGTTCTAAGTGTTCTACCTTAATCGTCGCTTTGTTTTCTCATTTGGCACATCCCGCTGGGCCTACTCACGCTTCCGATTCTGCAGCAACCCTGCAGGGCCGGCCAAAGTCCGAAGCCGGTGTATCGCATAACATGCCAGTGTCACGCCTGTCTTCGCCGATAGCTTAACTGCCTTCGTTTTCCCCCAACAGATGGCAGCACTCGCCGCATCCGGGTTAACATTCCCCGCCTGCCGGCCTCGTTCACGGGCACGGGCGACCTGTTCGCCGCCTGCCTGCTGGCCTGGATGCACCGCACCGGCGGCGACCTCAAGACGGCGTGCCAGAAGACGGTATCCACGCTGCAGGACGTGCTCAAGCGCACACTGAAGCACGCACAAGGTGAAGCGCCACCCGAGGGGGCCGCTGAGAGTGACAAGCCCCAGCGAAGGGCGACCGCGCCAGTGCAGTGGTCATGCCCGTTTGTATGAGTTCTTCGGGCTCCATTAGCTGTCTAATCCGCATGGTGGTGATTGATGTGCTGGCTGATACCGCCTCGGCCACCCCACGTCGTGCAAAACGTCGAGCTGATGGCATTTGGGATTGGTTGGTTTGTATTAGAGCCCTTTCGGCCAGCAATGGGGTCTCCAGGGCTATGAGCTGAAGGAAATTTGATGGTGCTAGGACATAGCTGCATGCACCTGGGGATCCATCCGTCAAGACTCACCCGTGTGGTAACCCTATACGGTCTGTGTGCTCGGCGCGCAGACGGCGCCCCCACCAGAGGGCTCTTAAGCCCACTCAAGGCTGGTGCATGTGGCCTGCCTCGGACAAACGGAGCGCCGTGGGGATGCAGGGAAGCATGACAGTGAGGAAGCAATGATGGTTTAGATGCGCATGGGATCGTTGGTTTAACGTGCCGTCTGTCGCTATTGTTAGTCCGTATCGGCGCTGTGTCGGCCGCTGTACAGCGGTCGCCACGCCGTGCCGGCCGCTGTGGTGTCGTCATGCCAGCCGCTGTGCTGTCGCTATGCCGGCCGTCACGGCCTCTGACGGGAGCGGATCGCGTGCCGCAGAGCTGGCCGGTCCCGACCGGGAGCCGGGTGCCGCCGAGCTCGAGCTGCGTCTGGTGCAGAGCCTGGACGACATTCGGCAGCCTCGCTCGCCCGTGGTCGTGCTGGACATCTAGCGGCGGAGCTGGGAACCTCAACTTGCCTGGTCTTCCAACCGGGGCTGACACTCCTCCGACCCGAACCGGATGAAGGAGTGATTATTGAAGTGTAGCCAGTATTTATGTGTTGATTGTTTGATAATTTGGAACGGAACCGGGCCATTGTTATTCCCACTCGGATATCAGAAGAGCTTCCAGGCGTTTTCGCCACCTCAGTCATGAGTTATATATTGAAGTGGTGATGGCACATATATTTGCTAATCTGCGTAGTTATATTTGCATATCTGTTTTTGAAACGGTTCAACGAATATACTGTGAGTTATCGCGCCATATTGAGTAGCATGAAGACGACCAAAAATGTCTGTCGATTTAAGTGTATTTACAATGCTGTCCCAGTGAGCGTTCTCCGTGTACCCTATTGCTCCTGCGCCCGAGACACCGGCCTAGTTCTTCGTTGGCAGAGCACCTACCCGAGATTGCTGCCGATGACGTCACCAGTGCCTACGTGCCACACAAGCAACTGTACCCCAAGGCGTAGGAACTGTTGTGACACACTTACCTGCGACGCCATAGGTTGTAACTTGTGGACGGCGTTTGCCAGTGGGGAGCGGAGCCCTGGGCTCAGTCCCATCCCGGGTGGCAGCGCTCCAGGCCCATTCCTATCATCAGATACCCCTGCCGCGTCCGGCGTCTCCACGCGTCGTATCTCGTATCGCCCAGAGCGGCGCGGTACGTGTGACCCATGACCCACGTGTGCTCCGCCCCGTTGTGGGGCCGCCCATGCAGCGGCGGCACACGTGGGCAGCGGCCGGCCGCGAGCTGCCGGCCGCCGGAGCTGCGGGCTAGGGCCGGCCCCTCGGCGCGGCGGTGTGCCGCTCCACGTGGGCAGCGGCCGGCCGGCGGCGCGCGTGCCGGCCGCCGGAGCTGTGGGCTAGGGCCGGCCCCTCGGCACAGCGGTGTGCCGCTCCACGTGGGCAGCGGCCGGCCGGCGGCGTGCGTGCCTGCCGGTCGCCGGAGCTGCGGGCTAGGGCCGCCCCCCCCCCCCCCGGCACAGCGGTGTGCTGCTCCACGTGGACGGAGGCCGGACGCGTACGCGCTGGGATTACTGACTGCAGTCGTGCAATGACAAGTTTGGTGGTGTTGGCATGCGGGCCTCATGAATACAGTTTTAGTCTCAGCAGTGTTCCACGTTTCTGGTCATGGACGTGTGCGCTGGTACGTGCTAGGATCCGCCCCTATACCGTCTACTAAAAAAGGACGCAACGCAGGTGGTCTCGAAACGTTTGCTGAGACGGCGTCGAGCAGGGCGGCCGTGGCGCAACCGGGATTCGAACTTGAGATCTCAAAGTGAGATACTAACGCAATATTGTAAGAATTGCAGGCTACGATCGATGACTCATGATTGATGATGACTGCGCCGTCGTGTCGTATGTGCCGTATCATCAATGCAGTGACTCCTCAAAAAGCAACAACAAAAAACAACAAAAAGCAACTCGACACCGCGTCGGGTGCTGATGCGTCGGTTTCCACCAAAGCTAATGATAGATTTTCTCAGTCGATCGTCATACTCTACGACTCGCCCTGCACAAATATGATACGTCACTGATTGGCCGGCGCCACAGCAACGCCCTCTCCCATTGGACGTGTGCCGGTGAAGCTAGCTGAGTCATGGCTCAAGACCTCATCTGCCCCTCCATTGAGCTCGACCCAGCGGTAACATCTGCCATAGAAGACAATAATCTGCTGCCTAGATCGCGAGCCCGAGCTGAGGACCGAGCCGGATCCAATGCGGGCAACCCCGACCATTTTTACCAAGGGACTGAACTCAACAACTACTACTCCGAAACAAAAACCGACGGCACAGGGGCTGACGTCGAAAGCAGTCACCTCTGCAGACATCCACCCTGGTCAGACCGGCACGCAAAGCTATGGTCAGAATCTAAATTAGCCCGCAAAGCCATGGACAGAAACCAAATCAGCCCACCGCTGTAAACCAAGCGCGCATGGCGGCTCGCTGCACACGCGTACTGGTCTCGCTGGTCCGTCTGCGACGCCTCGCCGGCGTGGCGCTGCTCCCGCCGCCTACTTCAGTGCGCGTCCACATCCTAGTGGGCAGCCCGCACGGAAACACATACCAGATGAAAAGCTATATATTTCACACAATTTGTCAGTGGCGATTTGCCTTCACATACAATCCCTGCAGATAGTGACTACGAGACACGGCAGTTTCTGGCGACCCCGCCCGTCACGACGTGGAAAGCGCTGGCAGACCGTCACGAAGCGCCCTGGCGCCCCGTGTCCGTTTTACAGGACGCCGCGGACACTGCTCCAATCACGCGAGCCGGACGTACGGGCGCGGCTGGCCTCGTGCACAGTCACCAGACACGAGTCGGAGCCGCGACCGGGACGGGCCAGGGTCGCGGGCGGTGAGTGGAACCTGGCCAAGGTACAGCGATCGGTGGGAGCCACAACGGGCAAGAACCCCGAACCCGTGCGGGGAGACGTCTGTTCCGGAGATGGGGTTAAGAGACTGAACTCGTCCCACTCCGTCCCGACGACGTGGGTTTAACAGCTACAGTGCGGCTACGTCAGTGAAGTATTCGCATGGACGACTCATGCTCATGATATGCGGACTCAAAGCTTCGAAAGTGTCGCCAGCAGCGTAACGGATGCGGTCGGCACGAACCCCAGCATAACCTTCGATAAAGTAAAGTTCCTTCGGCACAGACGCGATAATCACAGTCTGGACTAGATTATATAGCTGATGGCATCAAATCAGCCGCTAGCAACCCAAAAAGCTCCCTCGAAAAAATACTACGAAAAATAAACAAACGTTCTTACAGGCGGAAGCTCCCAACGGAGGGAAGACGGCAGGATCCTTCGCTGCTCAGTATTCCTCATTCTCCTCGTCTTCCCCATCGGCGGAGTCCAGACCAACCTCCTCGTAGTCCTTCTCCAGTGCGGCTAGATCCTCGCGCGCCTCAGAGAACTCGCCCTCCTCCATGCCCTCGCCGACGTACCAGTGCACAAAGGCGCGCTTGGCGTACATCAGATCGAACTTGTGATCGAGCCGAGCCCAGGCCTCGGCGATGGCGGTGGTGTTGGAGAGCATGCAGACGGCGCGCG